CTAGAGACATTGTCTCCTAAGCAATTCTAGACCTTTTAAAGTTGACAGTATTAACCTGCATACAGTGTGAACTGAAATTCTCAGAAGAAAGCGGCACCAGTGTTAAACGTTCTACATGGCTGATTGATTGAATAAAATTTCCTTGACTGTGGACGCTAGAATCTTGCAGGTCCAGAGACAAATTTTCTTAGGTCATCTTAATCCTCTAGGTTGCCATTTTAGCTCACTTCGGTGTTTGACCTAACATCCTTGTGACTATTGTAAAATATTTTGTGGAATGTAGGAAGAGAGTCCTAGCTACATGAAGGCTAAAGAATCTAATCAGCTATCATCTGAGTCTTATGACAAAGATTTCTCCACCTTTGTGTAACTTGCCTGATAGTTCCATTAATGTATTAAAATATATTGACTTATGATTCTTTGTTCCATTACTATATAAGCATCATGGAACTGTTAACATGTTGGAACATGATATTGGAAGCAACCCAAATCTGTGTTCCTGAGCCATGGTCACTCATATATTGGTCCAGAATAAGCTAACTATTATCCCCTTTGAAGTGGGGGTTGTTGTTTTTATATAGAATCTTTAATGTCCTTATGTAAAAAATGGTGTTTGGGGGAGAGCCGCACAAGGGTCCACCTCTGAAGTGTAGAGGCAATGAATGGTTGCTGTGGGATGGAGAGACATTGGAGACATTTTGTTAGAGCCGACATGTAAATCCTCAGACCCAGTTACAGACCTCCTGCACAAGTGGATCATCTCTCTCTCTCTCTCTCTCTCTCTCTCTCTCTCTCACACACACACACACACACACACACACACACACACACACACACTCGAGGAACAGAACCAATAGGACTGAGAGAGTGATAAGAGAGGACACTGGGGAGTGGTAGCGACCCAGCTGCATTGTAGACGTGTGCATACGTGAAGTGTCATGATGAATCCCATGACTATTTTAACAAAAACAGGTTTTAAAATGTGGTGTTTTGTGTTGTGTATTACATCAAGTCTGGCATGGTAAATTCTTCTACGTTTCCTCTCTAGGAAAAGGATGGAAGAAGTTCAGAAATGTGAAGCAGGTGCTTCCTCCACAGGTAATAAAGCTGCCCAGAACCCTCCTGCTTGGTACTCAGGGCAAGGAGAATGTGCGCTCTCAAGAAATTAAACATTCATTTCCTAACTTGCTATCCTTGGTAGGGTGTTTCCCCACATAAACTTTTCCATCCTGTAAAATAAAGAGCAGGGAGGGAGAGGCTGGTAAGAGGTGAAGGTTAAGGCCGTGGGAATCTCTGGGCAGCAGCCTATGGACTTCATGGCTGGGCAGAGAAAGGAATGTCCTCTATGGACTGCTTTCTTAGTCAGGATGAAGTTACCTTCTTTACCTCTTCTGACTAGTTCTTTGAAGTCTGTTTTGTCAGATGTTAGAACAACATCTGTTTGCCACCTAATTCCATTCTCTTTGAGTACCTTTTACCATCCTTTTACCTTAAGACAGAATTTATCTTGGATGGCAAGACACTTTCTTATAGTCAACAAAGAGATGAGCCTATAACTTAATTTAATATGCTATTCTGTGTCTTTTGACTGAGGACTTGAGTCAGCCTCTCTCTCTCTCTCTCTCTCTCTCTCTCTCTCTCTCTCTCTCTCTCTCTCTCTCTCTCTCCTGCCACCATGCCCTTGGCTCCCCTTATGGGCTCTACCTTCCAACTCTGAGTCAGTAAGAAAAGTCACTGTTACAGAAAGGTTTCCAGATTTTTCAATGTTTTAAGAAATCAGAAGAAAAATAATAGTCCACTTTCACACATGAAAATTACATGTAATTCATAATTGTATGCTCAAGTTTAATGGAGACTGACCTCTCCTTCCTGATGGCTTCTGCCTTCACGAGTGATTGCATGGTCATGATGTCTGCCATAAGGTCTGCTGAGCCCACGATTAGTATTCCCTAACCTTACATAACTCTTAATCTGAGACTCTGGTTCCTGTATTTCTGATCTGTTGATCCTGCTTTCCCTGGGATGAGATGCATTCTGTTACTGAGATCCCTTGCTATGTTCCTCTTCATGTCCAGATCCCTGGTTCCCTATCTTTTCAACATCTCCAGAGTCCTCTGTTACACCAGACTGTCCTCATCTTCCCTCTGTCCAGCTGAGGTGACAGAGTTCTGTTTTAGATTAGATAGTGAGGTCAGTACGTGTTTATGAACGAAATAAAATTCTGCTCCCAGATTTTCAAACAGAATGTTTCTCGTCTTAACATCACACCTATCAGAAGCAGGGCCCAGTGTGTGACATGCCCACTGCCTCATAGTCCCCATGTCTTCCTTCTTGAAAGCCCCCAGACCTTTCATGCCAGTAGCCAGATCATTTATCCTCATAATTAAAGAAAAAGAAATATTTTTTCTTAAGGTTTTATCTATCAAATGGGATTTTTGGAAAAATGCATGTCATGTATGATGCAAGGAATCCAAACTGAGAATGCGATTACGTGACACGTGAGGTGGCTACATACTCATACAGAGATAGTGGTTCTGGGAGGGAGAAAGCTTACTGTAGACAAGTCCTCTCAAGTTTCAGTGCCCCTGCCTAATACACAAGTTAATTAAAACAGCAAGAAAAATCAAAAAGCATATAATAACAAAGGCAGATCTTGCAACATGAGAAGCCATCCACGTTTTGACTCTGTGAAATGCCTTGAGTGCCCAGTCACTCTCCTCCTCCTCCTCCGTCTCTTGCCTGTGCTTTTGCATCTGCTGCCTCACCTTGTCCAGGTACTGTCTGTGGGCTTCCTGGGGGTCACTGTACCCTCCTCGATGCAAGGCCTCTACTTGAAGGAAGAGGTCACTGCTACAGTAGGATCCTTCCAGCTCCCTCTCCAACCTCTCCACCAGGGCGATGAGTTCTACCAGCTGCTCCCTCTGTTCCTCCCCTGTGGCCAGGTTGTTGAAAGCACAGTACCTCCTCCCACACTCCTGGACCAGGAGCCACAGGTTGTGATTGTCCGTGTGGGCCACATAATCACCCAAGGACTCATCAGCCAGGTCTTCCTTGTGGGTGAAGAGGACGATCATGTGCCTCATGGCCCCTGCCCCAAAGATCTCCTTCACCCTCCTCACCGCCATGGTGTCCTGGGCAGTGAAGTGCCCCAGCTTGGTCACCAGCAGCAGCATGTGGGGCCCTGGGGCACACAGCTGGCAGCAGTTGCCAGTGTCCTTGTATATACCTTGGGCCTTTGACTCAAAGATGGAGGGTGTGTCCACCACCAGGATATTCCTCTCATTCCATGTGCCTGTTTCTCCCTGGCATGTCCTGGTCACTGACTGAGCTCCCAGTTTGGACTTAAATGCTTGTCGGCAAAGGATGGTGTTTCCTGTGGCGCTTTTCCCACTGCCTGATTTGCCCACCAGGAGGATCCTCAGTGAAGAGGATGTTGCAGAAATGTTGTCGTCTACTGCACCTGTGACAGAAAAAAACTTTGATGTCTGCTTAGTGACTCTGCTGATGTTATGTATGGATCCTCACGGGTATCTCATTAAAGCTCTGGGCATCCTTCCCGGAAGTGGACATTATTTAAATGATCCCAAACATTTGCATACGATTTTAGGTGGTCCCTCAGTTGTCTGAAGCCCCTGCTAAGATCATATGCCTGGACACAGGCAGGGGTCAGTACTGCCACAGTAAGGGGGTGCTGTAAACACTTCACTTAGATCATGGAAAATGTGTCATTTCTGAAGAAAAGTGACCCCTGTGCTCTTTCCTGGAAGATGCTCAGGGAAGCTCCACAGAGAACTGGTTGTGGGAAAAAACATTAATTTAGAAGGAGGCAGGGATGAGAAGTCACGAGAGAGAAACAGTCACTCTTATCCACAATTCCCCAACACACTATGTAGGCACACTCAGTATGTGCATCTCAGTTGGGATTTCAGATGGTGGAGCTGTGCTGACCCACACCCAGGGCCAGCTGAACATATCAGATGGCAGAGTGGGGGTTTGAATCTGAGATGATGGAGGATGACCAGAGTGGGTGGCTGAGGAGGGTTGGGGAGAGACAGAAGCACTTAGAAGCCCGTGCACTGGGAAGATCAACTCTGTGGCTGGGACCAGCAGCAAAAGTCCAGGACCTATAACAAAAGTGACGTTTGCGGGACAACATGGAGCAGAGAGCTCAAATCGTCAGTACTGAAGGGGTGAGGACCTGGGGCTGTCTTATGAGCCAAATGCATTTGAAGTGTGTTGAAGGCTCCTACAAGCCCATCATTTTATTTGTTCATGCTGTCCTGGCTTTGCCTTTCCTTAAGTGTTCTGGGGTGTTTTGTAGCAAATAATCACTAAAGCTCTATGGGGGATTTCTCCTTTTGACAGCTCAGAGGAGACAAAAGAAGACATAACATGTCACAGTTCAGTTCTAGAACTTCTTAACTGAGTTTAATATCCACATTTTCCAACTTCTTGTGCAGGGAGAACATCACAGTGAGGGGCGTGTGTGTGTGCCTACGAATGTGCTCATGTGTGTATGTGTGCATATATGTTAGTGTATTTGTGCGAATGTACATGCAAGTGTGTATGATTGTATGTGTGCAAGTGTGTATGTGTATGTGTATGTGTGCAAGTGTGTATGTGTATGTGTGCAAGTGTGTATGATTGTATGTGTATGCGCATACAATTGTATGTGTGCAAGTGTGTATGTGTATGTGTATGTGTGCAAGTGTGTATGATTGTATGTGTATATGGGTGTGTGCTTGCATGCACGTGTGAGAATGTGTGTTTATGTGCATAAGCATGTGTGTATGTGTGAATGTGTGTATGCATGTGTGTATGTATGTATGTATGCACATGTGTGATAACAGTGATGATTCAGTTGTGAGAAGGCACGGAAGGGGGGATCAAATAGCAGTTGCCGTTCTCTTCTTCAGCCTGACGTGGCATCACTGTGGAGGAGGGGACAGTGACTCTCCAATTCTCAAGGTCTTTAGAACTTTCACACTTTCTTACCTTCAGTCATAGTTCCGTATGTGCTATTCTGAAAGCCTTCCATTCTCTTCTGGAACAGAAACAGGAATAAAAGGCTGGTCCATGTGAGGACTGGTAGGCACCTGGATTGGGGTAACTAAGAATAGTTGTCCTTAGATCACTGAATCCATTGCTAACGATCTGACCTATGTATTGTTCTCTAACATCTGTAAACAATCTGCTGGACTGAGGCCAGATCATGCCAACACGATGTGCTTCGCTTCCTCAATGACAGCAATGCAAGAAACATTTTGAAATAGATGAATCAATTATCTAGCCCAAGCTAAAGGCATGAAATGAAGCAAACATTCTTCTACCAATGAGAACTAGACACTTTATTTTTATTTATGATTTTTATTTTATTGTATGAGTGTATTGCCCGCATGTGTGTGAGTGCACCCGTGTCGTGCAATGCACGGAGGTCAAAAGAGGGCTTCAGATTCCCGAGGAGCTGGAGTTAAGGAACCCGGGTCCTCAGCCAGTGCGCTTAACCGCAGAGCCATCTCTCTAGCCCCTGAGAACTAGACAATTTAAAAAACTGAACTGAAGTAGATGAACTTGTGAGAATAGAGAAAATAATTGTTCTGCTATAAATAACAAATACTGAAGTATTGGAACATTTCAGCCCAGGAAATTGTATCAGACCAATGTTCCAGGGGCAAAGAGCAGGTACAATATAGTTCCCAATTGGAAGGTGGAGTGGAAGATGAACTCTTTTGAGGACTCTGGGGAGAGGAAGCAGAACAGGAGAAACTGAACACTGTGGCCTTTCCAGCTCCACAGATGGTGAAGAGACGCAGAGGAGATGGTGGCTCCAAGACAGAGTAAACATTCAGATCAAATTCATCATAAACTTTCCACTCAGTTTTCAGTTAAGCATCTTCCTTGCTTGGCTCTGAGGTCTTGGTCTACCAATAATTACCATTTTTCTATCCCAGTAGATTCAACCAGAAATCTGAACAAGCCCTCTTTGTAAACGTTTAGTTCAAGGGAGTTGTAACATTGCATCACTCTTTTGGGGTCTAGGAAGAGTGAAGCGAGTGTTCAGGAGGGTGAGCGAGCACGTCATACCCAGCCACCACTGAGATGGGCTCCTGCCTCCTGCTTTGTGTAGCTAGTTTTAAAGACTGTAGTGAAGAGGGAAGATTTTTAAGTGGAGAAATGTACATAAAACAAATGAAAAAAAAAGAATCAAAACACTGTACAATGAGCGAACAACTAGTATTTTGGTGGTCTTTCTTTCTTTCTTTCTTTCTTTCTTTCTTTCTTTCTTTCTTCCTTCCTTCCTTTCTTCTTTCTTTCTTCCTTCCTTCTTTCCTTCCTTTCTTCTTTCTTTCTTTCTTCCTTCCTTCCTTCCTTCCTTTCTTCTTTCTTTCTTCCTTCCTTCCTTTCTTCTTTCTTTCTTCCTTCCTTCCTTCCTTCCTTCTTTTCTTCTTTCTTTCTTCCTTCCTTCCTTCCTTCATTCATTCATTCTTTCTTTTTTTTCTTTTTCTTTTTGGTCTTTTTGAGGCAGGGTCTCCCTTTAGTGGGGCTGGCTTGGAACTTACTATGTAGACCAGGCTGGCCTTGAACTCACAGAGATAACACCTGACTCTGCCTCCCAAGTACTGAGATTAAAGGTGTGTGCCACCATGCCTGGCAAGTATTTTGGTGTTTTACTGCATTTGATTTAAACATTAACCATTACTGACGTGTTTCGCGTTTCTTTTTTCTAATCCCCTGTCTCATTCTCCTCTCACCTTCTGGCCTTCAGAGGCAGCCAGTATTGTGAGGTTTGTTTATGTCTTAGGTATTTGTGTATTTACATATGCATCTGTGTACAATGTGTAGAACTTCCTTTCATTTTAAAGTTAACCTGAATGACGTTTATGCAGCATTGCATCTAATTCTCTATTATCAAGCATTTGAAATGTTCTAAAATTTTTGTTTTTCATAACAAATGATGCTGCACAATGATCCTGCCAGGTCCTGCATGGAGACATATGTGTCCCACAGGCATTGCATGACACATGTGCATCAGCTCACCTGGGGTGTGCAGATTCTGTTGGCTGGGTATTGTTGGGTTTGACTACAAGTGGGTTGTGTTAGCTCATGTTTACACCAGTTGAAGGTGATAATTCTCAAATCTTCTCAAACCTTAACAGGCACTCAGTGATGTCATGCTTAATTTTAATCACCCTCATGGCCATAAACTACTGCGGGCCTAGAATAGAGAATGGGGCCCCAAAGACTAAAATAGGAAGCAGTTTATTACTGTGCTGTACCGTGACCCTGGGAGAGATATGTCTTTAAAGCAGGGCCCTGAACAAAAGAAAATTAGGCCGTTTAGATCCTTTTTGCTTTCATATCTTTTATAGATAACAGTATATGTTTTGATTGGTGTTTTTTAAAATCACTGGAATAAGATACAAAATGGCTGGAATGCTGGGGATGCAGGAGACCTCGAACACTTGAACAGGGCATGTGCAGAAATGCACCTAAGTACAGACACCATTCATTCCTCATGCTTTTGCAAGACAAGGACATCTTCTAGGTTTAAACTTGCATTTTATTTGTTACCAGCTGAATTTAAGACTATTTTCATAGTTTGTTGCTATTTAGGTAGCTTCTGTTATTGTATCTTTTGGAAACTATTTTTTGTACAGAAAAGTGGGGTTTCCTAGTTTTCTTTAGTGAAAGCCACTCATCTTTCATGTTATCAGAATATATTAAGACACGGTCTTCCTCCCTCTTCTCTCCCTCCCCCTCCTTTGTCTCTGCCCTGTTCCTGACTCCTCTCCTCAGCTGTACCAACAGAGGAGCGCTCTCCTTACCACCAACTCGCCCACATTCTTCTTGTGTTAGTAAATTACATCCTGACTTTCACTAAAATTTCACAAACTATATAACATTTTTTCCAAGATAATGAAGTCAGTGCTGATGACGCTGTTGATGAACTTCACCATCATAGTAACGGTCTGTGCGACTATTGACAACTTTCTTTCGTGTCTATTATTTTCCTGGTTCTTTATTCCTTGTGACATTGACGTTGGTATTGAAATTTCCACTAAACCCAGATATCCTACCCAAAGTCATATATTTGCCCTGGAGCCAAATCCTCCTAATGGTTTCTTTTGACTGTACATTCTCCTGGTTTTTATATCCACTTTGGGAGTGGGAGCAGACTATGCCAAACAAGTCACCAAGAATACTGTTTCCACCCCAGGCTTTAGACAGGCGCTAATACTGACTGTTGGAAATCTGTTACAAAACCAACACAGATAATTATGCTTCTGTGTCTTGAATGCATGTTGTTTTAAACCCTAAAGCAATGATTATTTAACAATAAATTTGCAGGGTTGCTCTGAGCTGAAGCATTTTGAAACATGCATTGTGAAGCATTTTAAACAATTGAAGTGAAGCAATTTGGAGTTTCTACAGCACTTGGTTCTCAGTGTCACCGAATGGCATCAGGAGGCTGTCACAAAAGCCAGTCAAGCGCAGCTACATTAGCAGAACACTCTAACACATTCTGAGTGATCAGATGGGCCCATGCCTCTCAGGTAGTCCTTTACTCCCACCCTGCTGGCCGTGAGAGAAGCCTGTTCCTCCTTACCTGGGGCTGACTGCTTGTGATCAACTGAGTGGGTCCTTTACAAGCAGCTGGAGGACAGCCAGGTCTGGGTCTGACACCTGCTGAGCAATGCACTCAATGAGAAGCCGCATGCTGAGTGGAGGGTGCAGAGTCCACCAGGAAAAGAAAAAGAATAAAAACCAGAGTGACTCAGAGTCCCCATCCCTCACAGCCTGCATTCTCAAGAGGCTGTAAAAATCCTTTCAAATACCTGTTTGACACCCGCCAGTGCACAGCAGAGCAGCGTCTTTAACTGGCTGCTGCCTATGGAATGCTGCAGGCTGCCAAGCCCGCCTGTTTTCAAGACGTTCGAGAGAGCAGCACTGGGAGTAAGAAGCAGGGAAAGAGGAACAACCCCTCCCACAGGTTCAAGAAAGACCTCCTTGTGGATGGAAAGTGCTAGGCCAGCGGCCATCCCATCTGAACCTAAGGCAAGTACCTGTGCTTCCCTAAGCCCCTGAACCTAACAGGGTACGGAAGACACCACAGGTGCCACAGGGCTGGTGTGTTTCCACTCCAACACCTGGTGCTGGCTGCCCCTTCTCTGCAGCGTCAGAACCGCATGTGGTTGCTGTGGAGGTCATCTGCGAGTTGTTCAGAAGCAGCTAGGTCTAGGTACAGGGTGAAGAACTCTTTTAAATGACTGCACTTCGAGGATTGAGCAGAGAACATAAAACAAAGTTAACTGCAAGGCCTTAAAAGTAAAGGCATAGCATGGCCTTAGGCAGAGACATGAACATCTCAGACAATCCCAAGAGGCTTTCTGTTTTTTTATTGGTGTAGGAAGTGTGCTGAACACTGTTTAAAATTTGAAGAGGAAAATTGAAGTGTCCTGCCAATCCAGAAAGAAGGAACGACAGTAGAAAAGAGAGAGAGAGAGCAGTTTTGTTATTGAATAAACATTAAATGAGAAGGTGATGTGCATCACAGGTGACCAGCTAAGAC